AATTATTATTGTATAAATCTGAATTCACTTATTTTATTTTTAATTATTTTTCAGTCACTATATTAGCAAACCGGGACTGAAAAATACATACATTTGCTACCCTCATACGGCTCACAACAACAGTGAAAAATTAATAAACCTGCACCAACCACAAAAGTGATAAATAAACCCAACAATTTGAAAACTTGAACCTGAAAACGTTTGGCCGAACAGCGAATGGTGCATCTACCTAGAGATAATTGGGAAAGAGTAGTAGTACAATTTCACTACCGGTCGGTATTGGTAGACAATAAAATTATTGCAGGTTCCTTGAAGGCCTTGGTGCTGTTGTGCACCGCAGGACCTTTCCCTTTGCACGACATGTCCCCAGAAGTGTACTTCTCAAACTAGAGCAGGCAGCCAGTAAAGAGACTTCTTGAAATTTGAATGAATTGACTCTTGACATGGACCATTTCATTCAACATTCCCATAATTTTTGAAATAAACTGGTTCGAATTTAACTGAACTTAAAAAGTACAGAGTCTGTGATAGATGTCTTGTAATTCTCAAAACTTCTATTTCTTATTATAGTATTTGCTGTTTTGATATACTCGACCAAATCTCCAGTATCCATGAAAAGAGGAAACCTGTTGGATTCCATTTACCTGTTGCATATTTCATTTATTGCCTAAAGTTTTAGAGTAATTCGTATTGTGAACAGAATCATTGTTTCTTTCTTTTGTTTTCAGCTTCTTCTTGTAGATACTCCTTTTTTCCCCCAAAAAATGATAGTTCTTTTCATTGAACAAGGAACGTACTTATGAGTTTTGCAATCGGTATTTGCTGGGTACATATTAAGTGTTAGTCTTGGCAAAAAATGTTTGGTGTTGCTCTTGGGCTTACCAGAGTCCTGCAGCCCACCTCAATTTCATGTCGAATCAGTTCATTATTGTTTCATAGAAACTTTGCAGTGTTTCTATTGGAGCAAGAGGTGGTTTGGTTGCATGTTGCATCACACTGAACTCGATACCATAGATTATTAATAATTCACAAAAAGCTTAATATCATGACATTACTAACAATATTAGCAGAAAATCGACTATTAAATACTAAAAGCATGGAAGAAGTATTTAGTTAGCTTCAAAGATAAGTATAGTTAATTGTATTTAATGTGTGAAAATCAATTCTTGCTAATAGCAAGAGTTTTCAATGAACGTTTCAGAGCCTACTGTTGTATTTGTTGTGTCTCATGCATTTTCCCGATTGAATTAGACATGTTCTTTCAGTTTTTTTGTTTTGATGTCCTGTGATTCGTTATTTTCGGAAGATGTCAGAAAGCTTCAGAATCATTGGTCAATGAGCCTCCTAAAATTGTGAGGTTTTAATGACACAACAGTGTATATCTCTAAAATCCTTTGTCACTGGTCATGAAATTATTGCTTTTGTGATATTAAGTAGATATTATTGAAAAAATTAGTTCTTCTCTAATGTAGAGCGTATTATCTTTCTCTTCTGTGCAGCTTGATTGTCTGACATCTAGATTTGTGATTTATGATAACATGTGAATTTCTTATCTTTATGTGGTCTGGTGCTGTTTTTGAAAGCAAGATTTAAGACTGCTTTGTGCTTGGTGGCAATTAATTCAGTTCAATTTTTTAAAACAGTAGTTAACCTTTTTTGCCCCATGCACCCCTTTCACATTTCTAGATCATTCCCTCCTTCCCTTCCAAACTTGAAAAATACATATATAATATTAGCACAGTTTTGGAAGCATTGATATAAGAACACTGAAATGTAGATGCGTAGCAATGTTGTTTAGCGTAGCTAGTTGATGCTTTGAGCATCCATCCATTTTAAAGAAGAAACAATCGGATTAAATTCCGTATTTTGGTGGCCACAATTCACTTGGCACTCAAATCATGCCTATTTTCAGAACATTTACAATTTTGATACTGTAGCGACAGAAGTGAATATAAATGATTGCAGCAAAGCGTCTGGTCACGAGAAAAGCATAAGCAAGAAGAGAGAATTTCGCAATACTCTAGAGGAAGAAGGGAGGAAGTCTTAGTTTTGGTTTACAATTATTTTGATTGGGCAAAAGACATCTGCATTAGCGTTAGGTAAGATCGCATGATTGCTTGAATAAAGCAGTTTAGACTTAATGCACTATTTTTAGAAGAGGGAGATGAAGTTCCCAAATGAAATGAAAAATAAGAGGTTATAGCCAATTAAAATTAGAAGTTTGCTTTCATATGTTTATCTTGCATATATTTTTTTAAATTTATATTATTTTCTAATTTGTTTTGTAAATTAAACAACAAAAAGTGTAGAAAATACTGGTAAGTACCAAAACTTGAATAAAAACAGTAGTTTTTTTTATTTATTCATAAACTAAACCTAAATACTTAACAGCTAAATAAAAGGCTGATCGTATTCCTCCCTCGAAACTGTGAAATTTTCCTTTGGTATCGGGTTAAAGTTTTAAGAAGCATTTCTACATTACAGTTAGCACACATTATGCCCTAAATGTAAACTGTTATTCAACAACAAAAAGTTCTGTGCATGCAGGTACAGCATCATTCTTTTCCTTTATAACAGCTTGGTGTGGCATAGTGTCTTTGGAATGATTTCAGCATTAGTTTTGTAGCAATCTCGAGAGCTACTCAACGCTTGCTAACACGCCTACAAACTGGGCTTCTCATATCACATCAGAACACCGAATCAAAGAATATGTATTGTTAAGAAGGAAAGCTTCTTTAAAGCAGGAGTGGTTCCCTCATATTGTAGAGGGAAGCATCTGTACATGCGTGAAATAGAGCCGGTGTTGAAGGTCACATTTATCAAGAGTTCAAAGTTTGTGATTCCATTTTTTCCCGCCATATTGACAGACATAAAATCAGCAAACAAACTTTGGTATGGATCAATCAGAAACAAGTGAACTTCACATAATTGCTGATCACTTGCATAAGTCAAAGAAGAAAAGTTTTGTTAAAGAACAAATTCTGTATGTTCTTTAAATTTGCACCATTTCAGTGTCACAGCTAGGGTGGGGCAAAGGAGGACACCTGCCCCTGGTATGCAGCATCCAGAGGGTGCCAAGCAGATTTTAGTTTGAAATGTTCCTCTTTCTTGGCAAATAGGAGGCACAAAATCTTCAGTTGTCTCCCGTATTCCTCAATTTTCCTGTACATAGGAGGATTTGGTGATGGGAACTGGCAATGAGAATTTCTTCCTCCGTGATCTAGGATCCTGTGACGCAGTAGTCAAACTGGTTTTGCATTACGTCTGTGTAACCTTTCTTTCCTTACATTACATGTTCTTTGACAGAGGTCTCTTGCACCACGGGATAGCTACAGTTCCTTCCTTTAAACACTTACCAGTTACTTAATGTAAAATGTCATTAAATTGTGGATTTTTTCTGATATCTTTGAGTAAAACTCTGTCTTTAGAAATTTCAAAATTATTTCTTAATTAGTTTGAATTGTGATTTCATGGGAAAAGTGTAGTGATTATTTACAGACCAATACTTTTTAGTTGCCAAAGTTATTTCAAAATTCTTAGTCATTTTTTGAATAATTTTATATTCACAATGAAACACTTAATCATTTTTAAGCAAGTCAGAAGTTTAAGCTACAATAACACGCTGAACAAATATTAATTTAGAAGTCAAACAACAAAAATCAGCATTATATTTTCAAATTTTCACAGGACTAGTTTCGATGGTTTTACCAAACCATCATTGCACTTTTGCAGCTGATGATGGTTTGGTAAAACCATCAAAACTAGTCCTTTGAAAATATAATGCTGATTTTTGTTGTTTGACTTCTAAAATTAATAAGTCGGAAGCTTATTTTTTATTTGAAATTTTTGCATAGGCCCTCCAATCTAATTTGTTAATTTCAGTTTCACCATTTAGAATATTCTGGTAAAGAATCTACTGTTAGCAATATAAAATTTAATAAGGAAAATTTCTAGCATGCAGGGTCGAGGTTCGAATCCCGCGAATGGGCTGGCCGCATAGGTGTTTTCGTGATTTTCCCCAATGTGTAACGTGTATACGAGCCAGTTTCCCTTAGAAAGTCCTCCACGAAGGCATCCCTCCCCTTAGGCAGATATCCCTCGAGGCTTTGCCGTAATCAAATAACCTAACCTAAAACCTAGCATGCAGGGCTGCCACGAATATTTGTGTGGAACTCTGATTTCAGTTTGGGCGTTGTATGTATTCAATTTGGGCATTGTACCTTAGAGATATTTTCAGACCTATTTTTAAATTCATTAGCATTTTAGGTTTTCATTAAGGGGTATTTTGTTGTTTGCACTAGTTAAGAGGCATCATATGTCCCAAGGCTTTTATTCTGAAGTTAAAAAGCCCCTCCCCTCAAAAGTACTATCTTGTTAATAAGAATGTGATAAATAATTTACTGAAATTTCATCAGTTTACAGATAAAAGCACTGATATTTGCAGTAATGAAGCATTCTGTTTCATATATCAGTTTACTTCCTGATATATATATATATATATATAATACTAATTACAGAGAGCTGTGTTGTTTTATTTAGAATATACAAAAGTCGCAGTTTTCAGAAAATGTGAGTGTGCTGCCGTATTTGCTGTTTTAGAATATACAGAAAGTACATTTCCATGTTTGACAGTCTGTAGACCATTATTTGAAAATATTTAGAGTTTCAGAAATTTTGTAATATGAAAGCTTTTTGTGAAATGAACAAATACCGGTAAGTATATAAATTTTCTTCCAGCCTCCTCCCAACCCTCATCTGACATATTGTAATGGTAAGTAGTATTTAAATTGTGATTGGTTATATTTGTAGATGGTTAAGCAAAATGTTTTTCGAGTTGTATAGGAAAAACATTTTTATACTTGAAACAATTTTATTTTTTTGTGCAGAATTTATTCTATTCTAAGATTTTAATGTCTATCATCAGGTATTTAAGTAGCAAAATTTTTAACACACTCTCTGATAAAGTAACAAATTAATAAAGCTTCCAAATGTGTTTTTAGATTTCTCGGAGAGGTCGAACAAGCTCTTCATCTTCACATTCATCAAGGAGTGAGAAAAGTGAGAAAAAATCTGTATATAAATCTTCGGAATCTAGTTATAAAGAGGATACTAAAATAAATACCACTTCTGTTAAAAAAGAAGAAACAAAGAAAACAGAGCTGCACTCTAAAAAAGGAACAGTAGTGCAAAATGAAATAAATGGTTATTCTTCACATAATGGAATTGATAATTTAATATCCGTAAAGGTATGTTTTTTACGTAGACTGTTTGTTTATATGTAATTTCTAAGGTGATTTTTTATTTTTCAGGAGTTAAAGCTCACACATATGTTTAATAGTTGTAGATGTTCTGGTAGAACTCCGTTATATGGTAAAACTAAATGAATCTACAGTACAAAGTCCGTAATTCGGACTCGTCGGGACTTCGGCGTTTCTGGATTAGGGGTTTTTCCAGATTATAGATCATCAATTTAAATCTGGTAAGATGGCATGCAGAAATTATACAATTAAAAATATGAAACTGTAATTTATGAAATAAAGAGCAATTATGATCTAAAGGATATCAAAATTTACAAAAAAAAAAAAAAAAGCTTAATATTTGTTTACTTTATTAAACATTTCTTTCAATGTAAGTTGTTTACGTTGCTTCGTTTTTTGTGCTAATACTTTCTCTTTAATTCTATAAACAGACATAATTTCTTGTTCAGTTACAAAGTTCCACTGTTCAAGTCCTGTAATTGCTGTGTTGAGAATACCGACTAACTTGGCAGTCGAAATTTTCTCGTTTTCAATAGCCTCCCTGTCACTTTCCTCACTATTGGAATTGCGCATGGGTAAACGCTTTACGCGCCTGCGTAGCAGACATGCGCAATAAAAGCTCATGCATAAGTTTGTGGCTTTGAGGTCAAGATTATAGATCATTCTGGATAATGAACGTCCGCATTACGGACTTTGTACTGTATCTTCTTTAAATAGTGAAGTTAAGCAGCAAAGGAGAAGTAATTTTAATATACATTTTAAATGTGCATGAAAGATGTATACAGGTTTCAGAAGTGCATTTTAGTGGAAAACATAATCTAATATTTTAGCTGTTAGAGTGCTAGATGAATAAAATTGTTTCATCTGTTTCCAGAATAATATGAATTTGGACCACGAGCGGAGAACTTCCGAAAAAGAAAAGTTTTCAGATCACCAAACATCAGTGACAGATTTGGTAAAGTGTTATTAATTTTATAAAATTTGCCATTATTGTCATGAGTAATTTGTTTCATTTTATGTTAACTTTGTTTAAAAAAATTTTTTTAAATTAATACATATTACATTGTTTAAAAGAATGTGCTGTTCTTTCAAAGGGAAAAATCTGTTACATTATTGAATCTGTATGTTAGAAGAATCATAGTATATTTCGAAATATTTTTCTTTTCATCAGATTACTGTCCTGAGAGGTTGATATGAATTTTATTATTTTCCAATTATTTTCCAATATATAGTATTTATATTATGACGAATATATCAATGAGTGTGTTTTCATTAATCTGGTTATGTTTAGTGAGACATAAGTAAATTTTAACATATTTAATAAGCACCGTATCTTGGCATATTAAAGAAGATTATTAGTTTTCAAAGGTATTAACCAGATATCCGGTAGTTCAAGAATACACTTTTATTTTCTGCAGTATTTTAAGTTTTATGTAAACAGATAGCTGATGTGTATTTAAAAACACACCACTAATGTTGCCTATAACTATGTTAAAGTAGAACAAATAATACTCTTTGTTCTAAACTACTGAAGATTGTTGCTGTTTTATACATTAACCATCTTTCTGTAAATGTTTTTTCAGCGCAGAGAATAATTACCCAATAATTTTCTTTTCTATTTTGCATGATGGTAAATTAATAAATATCCCTCATGCATTTTCTTAACATGCTTAAAAACATTCTTTTTTAAAAGTCATTTTAAGATACTATAGCTTGATGGTATCAACTTTTTTGCACCAAAATTGTTTCTAAGCATTAAAATATTTTCTAGGTTTGAAAATTGACATTACTTAGCAAGCAGATATATGCATTATGTAAATATTGAAATAACCTTCTGTATAATAATGCAACTGTGATATGTTTTTCTATTTCTGATACTAACTTGCATTCTGCATGGTAAGCATGATTTTGTGATTGTGATTTGCATGTAGATGTCAACGTATGTCTCTTTAACTGCTCAAGAAAGTCAACCTTTATCAACTAAAGAAATAATCTCTACTGGAATTGATATAAAGTCACTGGTGAGTTTGAACTTTCACTAACCTTTTGTTTTATTTCTCTTTTATCGAAAATTTAAATATTCTAATGACTTTGTGTTTATATAGAATTTTATTTACCATTAACTAATTATGAGCATGTCCTAGAAATTCCAAATTATTTGTGATTGTATGTCTGAGGAACATTAATTGTGGCTGATTAAAAATATTTACTGCAGTCAGCATTATCTTCTGCAAATGTAAACTCAAACTAATAGCGTTAAAATTGTCTAGGAAAATTTTCTTTGATAAGTGTTGGACAGAAGTTTTAGTTTTATGACTATTCATTTATTATGTTACGGGGGAATTTCTCTCAGCTTACTAAGATATAAAAAATCTGATGTGTACACTACTGTCCTTGTATGGAATATTAAATTATACACATTTTTTCTTGCATTTCATTTAAACTTATTGGAATGAATTAAATTTACTTCGTCGATAGCGCATAAACCACAGTAGAATAAATGCACCCTTTAAAATTCACTATATTTGTTTACCATAGCGACACTGAGGCACTAGGTTTACTTAACAGCATTATATTTCATTCATATCATAACTCAAAATGCACAAAATTTATATCATTTGAAGAATTAGCTAATCGTTGCCACATGTTCTATTCAAATACTTTAATAAATCTAGGATGATGTATAAAAGAAGTTAAGCAAACAGAAAAAGGAACAGTTTTTCACAGACGATTTAGTATTTTTCATTCAATTCAGTTAGTTCTCACTTCGCGACAAGGCAAAAATACATAACTCAAAATATGTATATTAAAAATTATGAAGTAAATCTTAAACACTTATTTCCTTGAAAAAATTCCAGAAAGGATTAAGCATGATTTAATTCGCAATAATAAATGAAGGCTGCGCAAGTAATAATAACTAGTATTCGCACTAAATGGATTTAAGATCATACAACATTATATATATATACACATGTATGTATATATATGTATATATATACACATGTATGTATATATATGTATATATATATATACACACATGTATGTATATATATGTATATATATATATACACATATATGTATATATATATATATATATATATATGTAAGATAAAATTATATGAATCAGAATAACTAAAAACATTAATTCTTCCTCTTTATTCTAAAATCATAATAACTTCTCTGCATTGCGTCATTTCTAGATCACTCTATGGCCCGCACAACTCTGATGACGTAATAATTAAGAACTGAAACTGACCTTGTAAACCAAAACTTTTCTCTTCGCGTGCTTCCATCTTTCATAACTATGCACTTCAGCTTTTGCCCTCTACTCTGCTAAGATGTAATTTCGCTGGCTTGCTTTCTATCCCAACAATATTAAAAATGTAAATCTTCTTCAATATGGGTCTAATCACGCATCTACAGTGTTCCGACTTTTTCCTTGCTGCTATTATGACAATTAAGTCGGCAGGATAGTTTCCTGCAGCCTGAAACCTCAATGGAAAATTTAATTCAGCTCTTCAAATCATCGTTTTGTGATAACTCCAAGATAATGTGAAAGAAGTGAATCATCAAGTTTGTTTTTTCTGTTTTTTCAGTGTTTAAAAAAAATAACAGATCATTCTTCTGCTGTGGTGTTTTGCAAGTGCTTCAAAAAAATAATCACGCGTAGTGGTTACAGATTGAAAGTAATCTCTCGATAAATTGAGAAGTTCGAATGCCTAGTGAAAAAGAAATCATCAGTGAATTACCGTTTAGGAATTGAGCATTACAGCGGGTTCAAGGTCGATCCGAGTTAAGTGTTTGCAAGTATGTGCGACAGAAAATTATTTGCGCTTCTGCTTTTTCAACAGCTCAAAAATTGTTACGTTCGTGTGACTCTAACCCAAAAACTAAATCATTTAATATGCTGCGAATTCTATAGTTTTCATTTCAACTTTGGTTAAAATTTCTGCAGTTTGTTTTGAGAAAATCTGAAATTCTTGTTCATTAATTTTTCATAATTATGTGTGAGCAAATTAATTAATTTTAAGCTATTTAAATTATTCATAGGGAAGGATATTAAGATAAGTTTTTATGTTTTTGAAATTTTGTTGAGAATTTTGAATACGAATTTTATAATTATTCTAAAAATGAAGTAGGTGTAAAAAATAAGTGAAATTATTACAGATACGTAATATGAAATTATGGTAAATGCATGTTAAATTTATGGGTGATTGTATGTTAAGTATAAATATTTATGTGCATTACATTTAATTATAAGTAATGATTGTGTAAAAGTTTATTTTGTGATATTCTGTAATAACAAGAACCTTCCCTGAAGAATTATGATTATGTGAATTCTCAAACAAAAAGACTTTTGGACTGAAATGCTGAAAAATTCAATAGGACTCTAAAAATTAAAAATTTATTTAAAAAAATTGATATTTATAAATTATACTTTACAGGACAAAAATTTTATGATTTATGTTTTTTTTTTTTTTTTTTTTTTTTTTTTTTTTTTTTTTTTTTTTTTTTTTTACATTTGCTAGTGCTTTAACTCTTTCTCTTTCAAAAGGCTTCTCTATCGCTACACCTTTTTCTTTTTGAAGAGGGGAATCTGTAAGATAAAATTATATGAATCAGAATAACTAAAAACATTAATTCTTCCTCTTTATTCTAAAATCGTAATAACTTCTCTGCATTGCGTCATTTCTAGATCACTCTATGGCCCGTGCAACTCTGATGACGTAATAATTGGGAACTGAAACTGCCTTTATAAGCCAAAACTTTTCTCTTCGCCGTGCTTCCATCTTTCATAACTACGCACTTCAGCTTTTGCCCTCTACTCTGCTAAGATGTAATTTCGCTGGTTTGCTTTCTATCCCAACAATATTAAAAATGTAAATCTTCTGTGGAAAGGCACGACTAGAGTGCCAAGTGATTGTGGCCACAAATATCAATTGGAAATAAAAATGGAATTAAAACTGCCTCGACTGCCAAGTTCTTTAAATACTACGCAATCAAAATTCTTCTTCAATATGAATCTAAGCACAGATCGACACTGCTCCGTCTTTTTTCTTTGTGCTTTTAATATTACATATATATACACATATATGTATATAATTTATTTCCTAAACAGTATTGATTAATTGATTATATTATACACATTTGATGCGTCCGATTGCAGCCAAAATATGAAGTGCACATCTACATGTTCTAGCAGTCCTATATAATAGGGAGACCTTAAAGTAATGTCGTTTTCTTACATTAAATTCAAACAAATTTAATGTAAAATTTGTAACAAGTTTTTTATTTTTAATCAATAATATAATCACCCTCATTATCAGCAACCTTTTGCCATCTAGTATGCAAAAGGTATCAATCAGAGACCGATAAAAATCAATTGGTTTTTGAGTAAAATATCTCGAGATGGCATTTTGGACATCATCCAAACTTTCAAATTTTTTGTCACTAAGAAAATGTTCTAGGGATCAGAATAAATGGAAATCCGAGGGTGCAATATCAGGCGAATATGGTGGGTGATGCAGTACCTCCCACCCCAATTCATTATATTTTTCCAGTGTTTGTCCTGCACAGCGTGGTCTTGCATTGTCGTGTTGCAGAATGACGCATTTTCCGTTGACAATCGCCAGATATTTTTCGATTAAAGATTGGTTCACTAGATCCAATTGTTCACAATACAGGTCTGCATTAACAGTTTGTCCAGGTTTCAGCAATTCAAAATGAACAATTCCGGGAATACTCCATCAAACACCCAGAAGCACATTTTCGGGATGTAAACCCAATGATTTCGGTATGATTGTTGGTGCCCATTTAGCAGGGGCCCCAGTTTCGAAGACAGCAAATCTCGCAGGGTTCTCAAAAGCAGCCATTTCAAAGATTTTAAAATAATTGGAATCGGAAACCAAAATCCCTCTCTAGAGGACGTAACTGTGGTTCAAGCACAGTTTTCCAAGACAGTGATCAGTATTATCTCAGAGTTGTACAGCAGAACAGGAATGCTTCTGTGCTATCGTCACCCAAGGCTCTTCCCAATAGATTTCAGCTTGAACCATGCACAGATAATTGTAAAGGATAGGAATACATAGGCAGGTCCCTGTGACCACTCATTTCTGTCTGACATGTAAGAATTCATTTACGGTGGTGTCGGGAAAGAAGGTGCTGGACATCTGAGGATTGGAAACGGGTAATGTGGTGAGATGGATCATGCTGCACCTTATTTTACACTGATGGAAGATGTCGAATGTGACGGGAACCCCCATGAATCCATCTTGCCTTACTTGCACTGTGCAAGGATCTGGTGGGAGTATCCATGATATGGGGCATGTTCTGCTGGAATGGAAGTGGTGCCTTGGTGTAACAAACAGCTGTAAACAAACAGCCATGAGATACCTTGATATACTGGCAGATCAAATATATCCTGCGATATCGTGGGTTGACCCTGATGGCAGTGGATACTTCATGGAGCATAATGAACTATATGTTGTACTAAAAGTGTTCAAAATTGGTTCAGGGCCCACCAGCGGCCGAGTGGTAAAGACGCTGAACACTGGTAGTTCGGTCTGAGGTTCGAATCCCCCGAATGGGCTGGCTGCATGGGCGTTTTCGTGGTTTTCCCCATGTGTAACGTGTATACAAGCCAGTTCCCCTTAGAAAGTCCTCCACGAAGGCATCCCTCCCTTTAGGCAGATAGCCCTCGTGTGCTTTGCCATAGTTAAATAATCCAATCCAATCCAATCCAATCCAATCCAATCAAAATTGGTTCACTGAACAGTCTGACTTCCAGCACCTTCCCTGGCCACCACATAGCTCGGATCTTAGCCACATAGAAAATGTGGGGTATGGTGGAAAGTGACATTTGGCAGTACTCTCCTCTTCCATCTAATTGACGAGATCTAAAAAGCTGTATAGCCAATACATGTTATTCTCAGGATGTAAATGCACTCCAGAAGCGTTTAGACTCGATGCCCAAATGAATCAGAGCAGTTATCCATGGAAAAAGCGATCCAATAAAATATTG